AAATATAATGTTTACCTCTGCCATTGTCAGTAGTCAAAACCTGTTTGTTCTGATCTGTGCACGAATACTGTTACACCACACCATAGCCTTCTATTGTTTCATTTTAAAAGATTATGACAACACACCTATGGCCCGACCTAGTCGAAGTATAGTTGTGTTTCGCTGAAGTCGATAAATCACGGCTGGGGCGCCGCAGAGACCAAAAGCGTTTATTCAAAGAGGGTAGCTAATAATTTGTGAATATATCTGCACAGGGTGAGCTGAGGCCTGAGGGTGAGATTTCTTGAGGGACCCTTTCTCCCTCACTTTCACTCAACACAAACACACAAATACGCACTGACGGCACTGTTCAAGTCACATACGCTCACACATAAACACACTCACCCACGGGAGGTGGGGGGGCGGGTTTTCTTTCAGCCGTCAATAACGGACCCACAAAAGTATGCTCTATTTTTTGAACCAAAATTACATTTAGGATCCCTCGTGGGCCTCTTTGGGGCCTACAAATGGGGAAAAAGCGTTCCGGACAGAAGTTCAATAAATGAAATAGGGACTCCAGCTATTTACTACGCTTTCTGTGATAAAACACGGCTGGGACGCCGCGGGAACTGAAAACATATACTCAGAGGGGTAATTCATTTTGTTCACATGCACGTTTATGAAAATATTGGTAAATATTTCCACAGGGACTCGAAAGGGGTCTGGCCTCTGGGACCTTTTGGGGTTTTTTTAAATAAAAAAAACTAGCGATTTCGGTCCTAAATATTTATACAGGATGTTCTTTTCCTCCTTTCCGCCCTGGGAGACCGGGAATCAATAAAAAAATGCTCGCTTCGCTCACAGCCCACCAGCAGCCCACAGGCTCACGCTCATCACAGGCTCACAGACCATAGTGCCTCTTCACACCCGATATATTCAAAAACTCTATTTATTTCCAAAAGCAAAATTTGAAATGGTTTCAGGCAATACACAGCAGCGTGGTCAAAATGCCAAAATGGACCATACGGATTACCAGGATACCCTGATCGGATGAGACTTACACAATGCGTAATGGTATAAGTGATAATTCATTGTGCTGATAGCCTGATACGGTTCCCTTTTCACAATAAAAGATAAAGGTGGTTGGCCATGCATATCATCCAACTACGAAGTTGATTTGTGTGGAAAAATCATAACCTCCAATTAAAAGAGATACATGTCTGTCAAAATTAAAACGTGCCTCCGTTTTACCGTTTTCGACTGTTGGCTTTACTCTTGTTGGCTTTATCAAAGCGGATAATAGACACACCAAGTTTATATTATATTACTATTGATTTGTTTATAGCCTCCTGTAATTCAACAGGAGGCTATGATTTGTCATTTAATGTACAGTTTACAATAATTTTGTTATTTTATAATTGTTTTCTAAAAATATTTAAAATATAAAAGACAAAAAAACAAAATACATAAATAAATACGTGCAAGATAAATTGTATTCACACCAATGATGAATTAAAGCATTCTAAATTATACATGAATTCATGATACATATTTATATAGGGTTTTACATGTCAAAACCTATAAAAAAATAGCGATGTCAAGAAAATATATATGTCAATACACAGTTCATAAATATAAAATGGCCGGCACGCAGTGACCTGCAGTTTAGACGTCAGAATAATTCAAATATGCTTGCGTTAAGGACAATCCGACTGGGATCCGTTGAAGGGCTGCTACCCGCATCCAGACTCTGCGTGGGCCGCTACAAGAGTTCTGAGGCGAAAGAGCCTATGGTTCTATCCTCAACCAAAAATGGAGTGACGACGCTCACCATGAACAACCCAAAGCGACTCAATGGCTGGACCAAGCCCATGATGGACACTCTTTTCGCCAAGATAGAAGAGGCAGGAGAAGATACGGCTACAAAGGTGCATAGCACGTATTCTTATAACTGCCCTTTGTCTCAGGATATTGATTTTGATTGATCGTGGTTTCATATTCGTGCATGGTAGCAGTGGGTCGTGAGCATATACTTTATAGATGAAGTTTACGAAGGGTCGCGATTTTATCTGCCAGAAATACTGTGACTTCAACTGCACCCTTATATACCCGGTACTTGGCAGGCATTGATTATTACCGGGAAAGGAACTTATTACTGTGCTGGAGTCAACTTGGCTGATACTATCAAGCCTGGACATCCACAAAAGCTTTGGGAGGAGATTTATGTGAGCAACCAAAAACGTAAATATGTTAATTTATTTTAAGTCGACTGCATGAATTGAGACTAGTATACTATGAAATATGTCCTCAAACGTGACAATGTGATAGGGACTAACCATATTAGTGTGTATGCAGTTTTCGATACCTTCCAAAACGTAAATATGCTTATTTTTTTCAAGTCGACTGCATGAATCGAGACTTTTATACTATGGAATATGTCCTCAAACGTGATACTGTGATAGGGACTAACCATATTCATTGTGTATTGCAGTTTTCAATACCTTCCTTGATTGTCCCAAGCCCGTTTTGGTGGCAGCAAATGGACCCGCTATCGGTGCATCTGTGACTTCGGCAACTCTCTGTGATGGCATCATCGCGGCAGAGTCCGCCACCTTCAACACGCCTTTCGCTCGCCTTTCTATACCGCCCGAAGGTTGCTCATCTGTGCATTTCCAGCGCATTATGGGCCAAGAAAACGCAAGTATGTTTTGTTTATATATACTATACATACATTGTCAATATATAGCGTTTGTGTGTATTATTGGCTTATGTGTTCGCTTTCATATGCCGTCTCAATCTAAATAGTCTAAACAACTGTTTTAGAATAAGTGATATTTGTAAATGGATGCATTTATTAAGCGAGAACAAATAATGTAAATGTCGATTTGTAAGATAACTGTCGAAAAGAATCCATGCTAACCCATTATATTGCTAACACGCGAGGAATATCTACTACTTTTGTCTACAGACAAAATGCTTAATGACGGCTGGATACCAACGGCCGTCGAAGCGAAGAAGGCAGGTTTTGTATTGGATGTTTGCAAGGATGATGAGCTCACGGACAAAGCACAGGCACTGGCCGAAAAATGGATCAAGGATGGCAAGAAACGTGAAGTGGCCCCTGATCTGAAGGCTGTCAACGAGAAGGAGAGCAGAGCACTTGCAAGCGCTTTTCTCTCCACCGGTTTCCTCAACGCACAATACGAATTTCTGAAGTCAAAGGGTAAAACCCAGACCGCCAATGTCTTTTGGGCTTTGAAGGCTACCCGCCCAGTCTGGGGCTTGTTTCTCAAGCAATAAATGTCTACCCCACTTTGCCGCTGTATGCTTTCAGCCGCATTCGGGCAAAGCGAATGCGTAGACTTAAATACATGCTAGTCGATGTTGTCAGGCGATTAGTATTGGTGACTGAGAGAATAGCACATTCGAAACTGCCGTGTCCGACGGTTGCTTGAGAGTTAAACATACGTGTATAGTAGGTAAACATCAATACTTAAGTGCCGTGTGACAAAGCACTTTGCCAGCTGGAATAGGTGGTGTCTGTAAAATAACGACGAGAGATCCTCTCATTTAATAACGAAGAGTCAATATTCGAATTGTTGACTTATGGTACTTTCCAGAGCCATGCCTGAACAGCACTCGTGTCACCGCCTTCTCAGACAATCATTTTTCCTATATCAAGACTTCAATTGAACAGACATCAAATATATAGGGGAATTTCCTCGCTTTGCGACCTCTGAACGGAAGCCTCAGGTAAACATTCGAAGACTTCATCCCATTGTACTTGAATCGGAAATAATAAATTGATATGAGAGATCCTTGCGATCTCTTCACATGACGTTCCGGATTTGGGTATTTAGTTGTGAAAAACATGCGCTTTCCTACTTAGACACGTTGGAGACGGTGCGGTAGCTGCACAACAAGCAGGGTTGCCTTAAAGAATCGCCGCAAGACGAGCACACGCTACAAATGCTTTGTAGAATAAATTGACAGCAGGATGCGCATTTATTTGGCTTTTAGACACCGAGGCGCGGCACGCGTTGTTTCGTTACCCCTAGAGAGACTGCTTCAGATGCCCTACGGAAGAACAACTATTTGGCATATTTAATCTACTTTGCAGTCACCAATTCGTATCCGATACGCGAGTATGTGCGGCCTTCCAATACAAACACAACCTTTTCCGGCAGACAGAGTTTATACTTAAACATCATCGCCGTGATCAGCACCATCTGGAGATTCGTCTTCTTGGTTCAAAGCCCAATGACAATGGGCTATGGAAGCTTGAAGTCAATTTGACACAGCTGGCAAGGCGTGGCATAGCTCAGAGTGTTTGATCTTTCAGTTCGATTGGGATTCAATTACAAATTGAAAGTGACGCGCTGCAGTGTAGAACTTACTCGAAGGTTGTTAAAGAGCACAGAATACGATGTTTTCGGGCGTAATATACACGTAATGCATATGCAACACATGTGAATATCAATGATGAATGGAAGCGTTAGTACTCCATCACGTTCGATATTGCCTCCTGCTGATTTGAATATAACTATCTCTGGCTGCTCTGATGACACCATATTTCTAGTTAGTGGCATAGCAGAGAACCGAGCGAGGCATGTTCACGTTCTATCGAACGTATCCGGTCTGTGTAATGATATTTTAACACTAAATCAAGGTTCATGCTGGATATATGCAAGGCGGGCTGCAGCCTGCATATACTATAACAACACGTTTCGGCACCTTTTACACCTTTGGGTCTTCCAATGCCTGGTGTCGTGCAAGTGCCCGCTCAAATAACACATCCCCAAGTATATCGGCCCCTCCAGTGACCGTGTCAATCCCTGTGTTTTTTTGGAGCTTGGCTTGCACCATATGCTGTTGTATCACTTTCATGTTCGTTGCGCGATCGTCAGCGACTGTTTTTGTATCGGCACAAAAGTTGCCCGTGTGCGGTTTGGTGGCGGACTGGGTGCCGTTCATTCCCAACGAAGTACTAATACTAGTGCTGCCTGATGCGGTCGAAGTGGGTGTAACGCCAGAAGTGTATGTGTTCCCCGAGGTTGCCAATGGCGTGGGTTCCGGTTGGTCTTTATCTTTTGTTTTATCAGTGGCGAGATTTGACCCAACAGGTTGTTCAGTGGTGCGAGTGATTGAGCTGTACGACAATCCCCCGGTATTTGTCACATTCCGCGTCAGCGCATTTCGAATCTGATACGAAGGCGAGGCTTTGCGAGCTTCATTTTGGAGTTCACTCCGCAGCGCGTGCAATTCGGCCACCCCTTCGGAGAAATCCTTTTGGAGCTGTCATTTGGAGACGAAAAACATGCACAGAGGATTATTACTCCTACTAGGACTTTCAATAAAGTGGTCTCAGTCTTATGATAATAAGAATTTCAAATATACGCAATAGAAGGGTATAACAAGGCCATAAGAACATGGATTTTACAACCTTGGGCAAATAACTATATAGAGAGCTTGTAGTATGTTTGTATTGCACACTCTCTATAGTGCCAGAAGAGAGGTCAGGACGTATAAGATTTGTTTAACCACATTTCTGCTTTTAGTTCATCTATTTGACCATGGCTCCATGATGTCGCCAAGAGAGTATGGAGAGAGAAGTATAATATGCGTAACACTCTGAACTTCAGGCTGACATGAAGAAGTATATATTTAGACAATATGAACGTGCTGGACGCTGCGATGTAGTGGATATGCGACTGAAGGTCCAATATGTTGAAGGTTATTGGACCGTGACTAGAAATAAAAATCTATCCGCTCTTTAGACACATACCTCATCCAGTTTATTTTGTTTGACAAATTGGTTCACAACCCCTTGCCCACTCCTAGCCACCCGGAATAGTTGGCCCAGCATATAGCCCACATTTCGGGCCACTCGGGGGAGCTCGTTTGGTCCAACGACAAAGTATGCAACACCTCCTATCAGTGCGACTTCAGATAAGCCAAACATAACTACGCATCACATACAGTAGTAGAAAGACCCACGATGTATCCAGAGTGGGCAGTATCTAGAGACCTGTGCTTCAGTGACGATCACTCACTCAATACACCTAAATATATGTCGCATTAGATGAATACCGAATACCCCTGATGTTCACCTCATTGGATATTGTCGTTGTACATTTTTATATGGTCTTTTTAGGAGAGATTATAAAGTATAAAATGCACGGATCTATTCTCATATACTTTGAATTAAAACGTATTAAATACGTTTATTTGTGATAGCCCTATAGTTAGCATTGCGGATTCAAGTTCAGAGTCCTGAGGTCCAACATTTTAACAAGTCTTACCTTAGGTGTCTGTTTAATTCGTACATTGGGTCAGATTTTGTTTTTCAGTCTTTTGACTCGTAGAAACGTTCTCAGTTTTTCGCGACCCTCTGGATAGGGTCTCGAGCGGAAATCAAGGTTTCTTTCTACAACATCGAAAATTTAGCAGAGACCCAAATCCAGAGGGCCGTTAGTTTTGTAAATCAAATACATAAATAAGCGTTTATGTCAAACGTTTAATTTCGCCCTTTTAACGGGTTGAGGTTCACACAGGGGACATAGCAATTACAGGGGACATAGCAATTTAGGATGTAAAGTTCATATAGTCATAGTACCGACAAAAGCGATGACACAATATTAGAATAGTTTCATAGGTAAATATAAACACAAAGATAGCGTTCTCCTGGTCTTATTTCTCAGCATTGAGACTTATACGTCCTTGCTGTGAGTAATGGGCAGATACTTGAGCTTAGAACAAAGATAGAGTTCTTCTAGTCTTATTCTCCGTATCGATTCTTGTACGTCGTTACTGAAAGTGATGAGCAGCTATTTGAGCAATAGTGTGATATACGATAGACAAACGTGATCTGTCTGTCACTGTTCTACTCTTACTTTTACGCAAGGGCAAGCGAATGCACCATTCTTAATAAGATCAGTAGTTTAGCTATGAATCCTTTACACAGCGGTGAGAGACCAACTGCAGGTACGATTGCATTGTCTGTCTCCCCACCGGCAGTGCCAGGCGCAGCTATGGGTGTGTCAAGAAACTGATCTATTCGGTTCCACATCGTATGAGAGTATATTTGTATTTTGTAGCTTCACCGTTACACTCTGTTACCATGCTTTTGTTCCTCACTATAAGATTAATTACACCTTCAAGGCTGACAGTATTTTTAATACTTAAGTATTTCTGGCTATTTGCTTATCAAAGTATACGTTGTGTATTCTTGTTTAGTGTATCGAAATATACCTATAGTAGTCTACGTAGGATCGGTTCATTTAGTGTGGACGCATCGCAGCCTCCAAATATCGTCTGTACGATATGATTATTCTATTAAGTATGCGCTGTGTGCTTTAGTGTTAAGGATGTCTCTATATACCTGAAATTCTTGTAGTGCGATCAGTTAATATTGGTGTGGACTTAGTTCAACCTCGACAGGTCGTCAATATGAAATAATATATTGTCTGGTATCGCTTAGCCTGACATATTTCAAGAATGCCAGGGGTGAAATTCTCAATAACTTGCTGATTGTGAGTCGGATACTGATGCTCATATAATCGCACACCAACAGCGCATGCGACACCTAGTTCCAGGGGACGGGACATCAGAGAGGATGCCCGGGAGTTAGTATCAATATGGGAGATAAAGCGTGATCCTCAAGTACAGGCTCACTGCGTGCCTCAACTAGCTCCCAATGACACTGATATAGGTGCGTTGCACACCGATTCGAACATCCGAAGCGAGTTAGTATATTCACAGCCTGGTCACCTGAGCGGCGCAACTAACACAAATACCGATCCGTCAAACACTGAGATAATGCCAGACGGACCGTCGACAGCCCTCGGTCCACCTTTAGAGCCGCAAGGAGTTAAATACCAACAAGCTTCTACCTCTGGCCTCGCAGATGCAGTAAGTCCTGTTCTATATGGATCGACGACATCGCAACCTACACCTACTCATGGGTCATCCTCAATATCCACTGGAGCTAATGCAGTGCAATTTGCCGTAGCTCCAAATACAGCGGTTTTTGCTCACTATCCTGCAGGTCACCTGGCCGGTAAGTTATATAGATATCTGTCGTACAATCAGAATAGTTTTCCGTTCACGTTGTAATAGCTATTTCGTCGTCGTTTTCATTTCGCTCTTCACTCGTGTTGTGTATGTATACATCCCAGGCATCAAAATACCTTTTCTAGCATTCAACAGTAGGTCCCGTAATTATTTTAACTATATGTGCTTACATTTACATGTTATAATTGACAC